GGGGACACTGGGGACACTGGGGGGTGGCAGTGGCAGTGCCATTGTCGCTGTCCCCGCAGGTTCCTGCTGTCCGAGTCCCAGCGCCGCCTGTTCGAGAAGCTCGCTCTGTACTGCGACAAATCGGCCAACCTGATCCCGGTGTCCTTCGTGCTGGGTGAGACCCCCGGGACCCCCCGCGACCCCCCACAACCTCCCAGCATCCCCAGTGCCCTCCCAGTGCCCCCAGTACCCTCAGTCCCCTCTCAACACCCCCAGTACCCCCCAATCCCCTCTCCCAGTGCCCCCAATATCCTCTCCCAGTACCTCCAGTCCCCCCAGTCGCTTCCCAGTACCCCCAGTACCCTCTCCCAGCACTCCCAGTCCCCTCCCAGCACTCCCAGTCGCCTCCCGGTACCCTCAATACCCTCTCCCAGCACCCCCAATAGCCTCTCCCAGTGTCCTCGGTCCCCTCCCAGTACCCCCAGTTCCCCCACTCCCCTCCCACTGCCCCCAGTACCCTCTCCCAGTGCCCCAAATACCCTCTCCCAGTATCCCCAGTACCCTCTCCCAGCACTCCCAGTCCCCTCCCAGCAGTCCCAGTAGCCCCAGTCGCCCCGCAGGGTTTTACGTGGCGCTGGTTCTGGAGCGCTGGTGGGGTCAGTTCCGGACGGTGCCGGCCCCGGACGGGCTCATGGTGGCCGTGGCCGGGAGCGTCCACGGGGCGGACGCGCGGGGGCGGCTCCTGCGCCGGACTCTGCTGCGCTACGGGAGCCTGGCGGCGCTGCTGGTGCTGCGGGCCGTCAGCACACCTGTGTACAAGAGATTCCCCACCACTGACCACCTGGTGCAGGCAGGTGAGTGACCAGAGTGACCACTGAGTGACCAGAGTGACCACTGAGTGATCACTGACCACCACTGACCACCATTCCCCACCATTGACTGCCACTGCCCACCCAGTGCTGCAAGGGGGTCAGCACACCTGTGTACAAGAGATTCCCCACCACTGACCACCTGGTGCAGGCAGGTGAGTGACCAGAGTGACCACTGAGTGACCACTGACCACCATTCCCCACCATTGACTGCCACTGCCCACCCAGTGCTGCAAGGAGTCAGCACACCTGTGTACCTGAGATTCCCCACCACTGACCACCTGGTGCAGGTGGGTGAGTGATCACTGAGTGACCACTGACCACCATTCCCCACCTCTGACCATCACTGACCCACGGTTTGGGGTGACCCCTCCGCGTTCTGGGCTGACCCCTCGGTTCCCGCGGGGTTCCCGCAGGTTTGGGGTGACCCCCCCCCGGGTTTTGGGGTGACCCCCCCCGGGTTTTGGGGTGACCCCCCCGGGTTTTGGGGTGACCCCCCCCGGGTTTTGGGGTGACCCCCCCGGGTTTTGGGGTGACCCCCCGGTCCCCGCAGGGTTCCTGACCCGCGAGGAGCGCCGCCGGCTCGAGGGGCTGCGCTCGCCCTACAACAAATTCTGGGTGCCCTGCGCCTGGTTCGGGGCTCTGGCGGGGCAGGCGCGGCGAGAGGGGCGAGTGCGGGACGACTGCGCCCTCAAACTGCTCATGGAGGTACCGGGACCCCCGGGACCCTCCCCAGGAACCCCCCGGGACCCCCCGGGACCCCCCTGAGCCTCCCCCTCCGTTCCCCCCCCCCAGGAGCTGAACCGGTTCCGGGCCCACTGCAGCCTCCTGTTCCACTACGACTGGATCAGTGTCCCACTGGTGTACACGCAGGTACGGACTGGGAGCACTGGGAGCGCCGGGGGACACCTGAGAGGGGCATGGGACACCTGGAGCGACACCTGGGGACACCTGGGGCGACACCTGGGTGCACCTAGACAGGGCTGGGGGAGTGAGGGGACACCTGGGTGCACCTGGGAGGTTGAGGGGACACCTGGGAGCACCTGGCCAGGCCTGGGGTGACACGGGGGGGACACAGAGGGGGTCGGGCGATCCCCACATCCAGCCCTGCCCCTCCCCCCGCAGGTGGTGACCATCGCCGTGTACACCTTCTTCCTCACCTGCCTGATCGGGCGGCAGTTCCTGGACCCCGCCCAGGGCTACGCGGGCCACGAGCTGGACCTGGGCGTGCCCGTGTTCACCTTGCTGCAGTTCTTCTTCTACGTGGGCTGGCTCAAGGTGAGCGCGGGGCGGGGACACACCTGGGCGTGGCCCCGGGGGGGCACCTGAGAGCTGCCCTGGTCACACCTGGCCCTGGTGTTACGTGCAGGTGGCCGAGCAGCTCATTAACCCCTTCGGGGAGGATGATGATGATTTCGAGACCAACACCCTCATCGACCGCAACTTCCAGGTGTGTGTGTGGGCCCCAGGTGTGTGGGGGGGCCCCAGGTGTGGGGGGGGACCCCAGGTGAGTTCGGCAGGGATCTGGCCCTGAGCCCGTGGCTGAGCGGCGCCGTCCCTGCAGGTGTCCTGGTGTCCGTACAGGTGTCTGTCCTGCTGTCTGTACAGGTGTCCTGCTGTCTGTACAGGTGTCCCATTGTCTGTACAGGTGTCCGTCTGTCCCCACAGGTGTCCATGCTGGCCGTGGATGAGCTCTACGGGCAGGTGCCGGCTCTGGAGCGGGATCGTTACTGGGACGCCGCCTCCCCCCAGGCTCCGTACACGGCGGCGGCCGCGCCCCCTCGCCAGCCCACCTTCCAGGGCTCGGCCTTCGACGTCACGTGAGGGGCGCCCCAAAATCCCGGGGTCACCCAAAATCCCGGGGTCACCCACCCTGGAATCCCCAAAATCCCGGGACCCCCCAAAATCCTGGGATCGCCCGCCCTGGAATCCCCAAAATCCCGGGATCACCGAAAATCCCAGGAACCCACCCTGGAATCCCCAAAATCCCGGGACCACCCAAAATCCCGGGATCACCCACCCTGAGATCCCCCCAAACCTCCCGAACCCCCAAAATCCCGGGATCACCCACCCTGGGATCCCCCAAAATCCCGGGACCACCCAAAATCCCGGGGTCACCCGCCTTGGGATCCCCAAAATCCCGGGACCACCCAAAATCCCGGGGTCACCCACCCTGGGATCCCCAAAATCCCGGGACCCCCCAAAATCCCGGGGTCACCCACCCTGGGATCCCCCCAAACCTCCTGAGTCCCCCCCACCTCCCCGGGGGGTTTTTGGGGTGCCCCGGGGTGAGTTTTTGGGGTCACTTATGGAAGATTTTTTGGGTGATTTTTAATTTTTTTTTGGGGGGTGATCTCCCCGCTCCCGCAGCCTGGCCAAGGAGGAGATGCAGTTCCAGCCCCTGGAGGACATCGGGGACCCTTTGGGGGACCCCCTGGACCCCCCGATCCCCCCCGGCTCCCGGCGCCCGTCCCGCAGGAGCGGCTCCGAGGGGGGGGGGGGCGGCGGCCCCGAGCCCCCCCCGGCATTCGGGGACCCCCAGGAGCGGTGGCTGCTGCACCCCAGCGCCGAGCACGCGGTCTAGGGGGGCACCCCAAAAACCCCCAGACCCATTTTCACCCCCAAATCCCGGTGTTTTGGGTGGGTCCCCTCACCCCCCGATTATTATTATTATTATTATTATTTTTAATTCCTTTCTTTTTGGAGGACAAACCCCCCGAAATCCAGCAATAAATCCCAAACCACAACAAAAAACTTTTTTTTTTTTTCCCATAAAACACGCACAACCCCCAGACCCATTTCCACCCCAAACCGCGGTGTTTTGGGTGCTGTTTTGGGGTCCCCTCAGCCCCGCTCGCCGCCGATCTCGGCCTCGCTCAGCACCACGGCGCGGAGCCGCTCCCGGTGCAGGCGCTCGTTGTTCTCGGAGCGGAGCTGACTCCGCTCGAGTCCCCGCAGCCTCTCCGGGAGGTGCCCGAATTCCTCCTCGTTGATGTCGCAATCCCGCAGCGCTTCTCTCAGCATCCACCAGCGCCCCAAAAAACCCAAATCCAGCAGCTCGCCCATGTCCCAGATGCTCGGGCGGAGGTGCGGGCACCTCGCCGAGTAGAGCGCGGGGTCGCTGCCGTGGGGGTCGGCACCGGCCACGGCCACCAACCCCAAATTTCGGACGCGGATCCGGCCCCGCTCCCGCAGCCGCAGCAGCCGCAGGACGTGGCGCTCGGAGCGGGGGCTACGAGAGCTCGGAGGGAGCTGGCCCAGGGTCGCCCCAGCGGCCACCGCTGCGCTCTCCAGCGAGTCCAGGTCGGGCACGGTGCTGGCCAAGCTGGCCCCGAGCCCCAGGGCGAGCAAGGTGGCCGCGCTCAGCCCCGGGCGGCGCCGGGCTCCGGCTGCGGCTTCGCGGAGAGAGCTGGAGTAATCCTGGAGGAGAGCCCGGAGCCAGCGGGCTGGGGG